TAGGTGTCACACATTAGGGTGTCACACATATAGGTGTTGGCACATAGGTGTCACACACAGGTACATGCATATAGGTGTGTCATACATATAGGTGTTTACACATATAGGTGTAATGCATACAGGTGTCATGCATATAGGTACACATTAGGGTAAATATACACATAGGTACATACATATAGGTGCTCATACATATAGGTGTCATACACATAGGTGTCATACATATAGGTGTCATGCATATAGGTGTCACATATATAGTATGTCATACATATAGGTGTCATACATAGTAGTGTCATACATAGGAAGTCATATGATATAGGTGTAATGCACACAGGTATGTCATGCATATAGGGTGTCAAGGCTAATAGGGTGTCACACACAGGTGTCATACATACAGGTGTGTCATACACATAGGTACATACATATAGGTGTTACGCATATAGGTGTCATACATTAGGGGTGTCACATAGGTGTCATACATATAGGTGTCATACATATAGGTATGTCATACATATAGGTGTCATACATATAGGTACTATACATATGGTGTCATACATTAGGGTGTCATGCATATAGTGTCATACATATAGGTGTCATACATATAGGTGTCATACATATAGGTGTCATACATATAGGTGTCAAGGACATAGGTGTCATACATATAGGTACATATATAGGTAACATACATATATAGGTGTCATATATATAGTGCTATACATATAGGTACATACATATAGGTGTCATACATATAGGTGTTGGCATATATAGGTGTGTCATGCATATAGGTAAGTTCATGCATATAGGTGTCATGCATATAGGTACATATATAGGTGCTATGCATATAGGTACATACACATAGGTATGCATATAGGTGTCACACATATAGGTGTCAAGGCACATATAGGTGTCATACATATAGGTGTCATGTATATAGGTACATATAGGTGTCATATACATATAGGTGTCATACATATAGGTATGTCATGCATATAGGTGTCATACATATAGGTGTCATATACATATAGGTGTTTGCATATAGGTGTCATACATAGGTGTCATATAGGTGTCATACACATAGGTGTCATACACATAGGTGTGTCATGCATATAGGTGTTTACACATATAGGTGTTATGCATATAGGTGTCATACATATAGGTGTCATGCATATAGGTGTCACACATATAGGTGTCATACATATAGGTGTCATGCATATAGGTGTCATGTATATAGGTGTTTACACATATAGGTATACATATAGGTGTCATACATATAGGTGTCATGCATATAGGTGTCAAGTACATAGGTGTCATAATATTACAGGTGTTTCCATATAGGTGTCATACACATATAGGGTGTCATACACATAGGTGTCATGCACATAGGTGTCATACATATAGGAAAATGCATATAGGTGTCATACATAGGTGTCACACATACAGGCGTCATGCATACAGGTGTCATGCATATAGGTGTCATACACATAGGTGTCATACATAGGTGTCATACATATAGGTGTCATGCATAGGTATTATACATATAGGTGTCATACATATAGGTGTCATATATAGGTGTCATACATATAGGTGTCATATATATAGTGCCATACACATAGGTGTCATATATAGGTGTTTGGCTATACATATAGGTGTCATACATATAGGTGTCATACATATAGGTGTCATACATATAGGTGTTTATACATTATCATAATTTCATTCATACTGTTGTCATTTGTTCTGTCGTCACAATATAACCTTGGCTAGTCACCAGAGAAGGTCGCTCAGGTGTACAGTATCAGGTTATGGGACAACAGATTTACTTCACCTCCTCGTGTTATGGGAAGGTGTACACGTGTGGATTCTAGTCTATTAGGTTCACCTCTGATGTGGTTATGAGACTGATGAAGGGCAAATCTTCATGATAAAGATAATGTTCACTCACCGTACAGTAACTTAACCCAAACATGACGCGATACAAGTTGGAATTCATTAAGAAACTGTTTCATTCTGCCGCGTATTACTGTGTGTTGCCTCTTCATCTTGTCCCTGGCAGCCAAGTTTATAAACCGTACATACCAGTTTATTCTATTTTCTTTTATAAAACAGTGTTGCAACAAGGACACAAGTAAAGTTTGCATGGCATTTATCTGGTGAGGCGGAACACTGTGGTGAGGGCACAGCCAGGCCAGTGGTGGGAGGGGCGTGGAGGATATTACCACCAGCTGTCGTCTCTCATCGCTGTCCGTCCTCCTGCCCTCATAGTGAGATCATCTGACGGACCCTTCTGCCGTGCTGCTTCTCTGCTGTTACTCCACCTGCTGCTGCTGTTCACGCTGTTACTCCATCTGCTGTTATTGCTTCATCTGCTGCTGTGTCCCGTATAGGGTCATCTCACAGGCTCTCCGTTACCGATGTTGGTTTTGCTATTTTCTGCTCGCAAAATGAAGGTCGTCTGGGGATCCTGTTACCGCCACTCTCCTTGTTTCCGTGTTGTTGCCCTTTAATCTGCTACTGAAGCCCCCCCACACACACACCTTGGAGAAAGTAATTGAAGACTCTGAAACTGTTCCTTGAGATTTATGGAGGAGCGAGGATCACCTACCTGGTCAGAGCGAGAGAGAGCGAGAGAGTATAGAACGCCCAATCCTCAACTGGAGAAAGTGTAAAACAAGACCAGACAGACAGACAGACAGACAGACAGACAGACAGACAGACAGACAGAAAAGAGGAGAGAAGAGAGAGGGTCAAAGGCAAAGGAGAGAAAAGATGAACATACAGAGAATGGCAAATGAGAGAGACACAGACAGTGAGAAAAAGGAGGCAGAGACAAGAGAGGATAAGTACAAAGAGAGAGAGAGAGAGAGAGAGAGAGAGAGAGAGAGAGAGAGAGAGAGACCGACCATGTACCTGGGTAATATAAGCGCACCTGAGACTCTTCCTAGGGACACAAACACCTACCTGGGGATGTAGAGGATTCTTCGGCGACGACAAACCCGACGGTGAAGAGGAAGTTGGTGGCGGGTAGGAAGGGCAGCACCAGCAGCGACACCCAGCAGTACAGCCCTACCCTCCTGACCCTGGCGGAGGAGACGGGTGAGGGTGAGACATGGAGGGTGAGGCATGGGGGTGAGGGTGAGACATAGGTTGAAATGAAGACAGAAAAGAAAAGATAATGAAGAAAAGAGAAAGTGTGTGTGTGTGTGTGTGTGTGTGTGTGTGTGTGTGTGTGTGTGTGTGTGTGTGTGTGTGTGTGTGTGTGTGTGTGTGTGTGTGTGTGTGTGTGTGTGTGTGTGTGTGTGTGTGTGTGTGTTAACAAAGCAAGAGAAGTTATGGTTAACACTTATATTCTTTGACAATTAAAATGTATGTATGTATGTATGTAGTGTGTATGTATGTATGTATGTTTGCATGTAGAAGGTATGACTAGTGGCTGCAGGAAGAGGAGAAGAGGCAGGTAGGAGTGTGGAGGGAGGAACAGGAGAGAAGTTCGTGTGTATAAAGGTTCTGGCAGAAATTTGATTCAAGGAAGGGTCAGATTTTTATAATGAGATCAGGGAGGCGTGACCTGTGTGTGTGTGTTGGTCTTCACATAGACTTTACTTTTGGTTACTTTAATGTGTTCAGTAATTTACCTGTCAGTATTGTAGGTCATTCGGTAATGCACTTGGTCCCTAGAATAATACATGATTTTTTTTACATACTGAATAATTATATACATTATACCATACTAATTACGGATGAAAAAACTCCAAAAGAAAAAAAAGAAATAAACTAAGGAAAATGAAGAACAATGAAAAATAAGTAAAACCACCAATTAATTAAAATGAATAAATGTTTAAAAGAGAATGAGGGAAGAGAACGACCTTAGATGGTTTTACAATACCACTGTGTAGGGTGAGTGAAACCATTTACCTGTGCAGGTATTCTGACCAGAGGCCCTGACGAGATGAGAGGTCAGGTGTGACCAGATGGGGTGAGGGAGAGGAAAGATAGATAAAGAATGAGAGCAATAAACGGATAGGGAAGGGGAGAGAGGAGAGAGAGAGAGAGAGAGATGAATGAGGGGAGTTATAACCGTGATAACACTTGATGAGAAAGGGACGAGAGAGTTGCGCATATGAAGGAGAGAGGAAAAAGATAGACAGAGAGAGAATGAGAACAGGAGAAAGAGAGAGAAAGAAGATAATGAATGTGAGAAGTAAACGTGATAAGAAGTAATGGGAAGGGGAAGATAGAGCAGGATGAGATGGAGAGGAAAGAGAGAGAGAGAGAGAGAGAGAGAGAGAGAAAGAGAGAGAGAGAGAGAGAGAGAGCACAGTAATAAGGGAAGGAAATGTGAAGTTGTTCCTCGTAGAAATAATCATCCAAGTTCTTATCTCGTGACAAGGAGTGATTCTCAATTTACATGTCAACCTTGAGAGGGGGAGAGACCAGTGAGTGACCTGTAAGAAAAGATGAGAATAAGAGAATTGTAAATTAAAGAATGGTAAGGAATAAGAGAACGATGAATGATAACAATACCTCCAGGAAATGTTTGATTGTTAAGTGTGAATGTGGATGAAGTCAAAAGATAAAATACCATAACTTTTAGTCTGGTATTCTGTTTACTTTTTATATACTGTATACATAGGTTGAAAGACGTAGATTTTCATTAATTTTGCCAAGATAATGATGATAATGATGATAATTATAATGATAACTATAAAAAACAATATCTTACCTTCATGAGGCATCCGGCCTAAGTATAAGTAAAGAGGGCGGCGTAAAACAAAACCGAAGCGATATTTCTGGCGTCTATGAAGGAGGTTATAATGGGGTATGGAGCCCATTTGCCAGTCGTGAGCTAACGTCCATGGGCACAGCAGCAGCCGTGCTGAACAGGTACCAGAAGGTCAGCACTCTGTGACAGAAATAGAGCGCGGAAATTATATAAAATGCGGTTAAAACCAAATTAGCGCCATCAACAGTTAAAACGTCAGCACCCTGTGGCGGGAGCCAAATAAATGGCATTTACTCTACGGACACAGCTGCAGTCAGAGAGTCAACATCCTGCGGCAGTGAGACGTCATACTGCGGCAGTCAGAGTCAACATACTGCGGCAGTCAGTGTCAACATCCTGCGGCAGTCAGAGTCAACATACTGCAGCAGTCAGAGTCAACATACTGCGGCAGTCGAGTCACTGGCGGCAGTCGGTCAACATCCTGCGGCAGTCAGAGTCAACATACTGCGGCAGTCAGAGTCAACATACTGCGGCAGTCAGAGTCAACATACTGCGGCAGTCAGTGTCAACATCCTGCGGCAGTCAGAGTCAACATACTGCGGCAGTCAGTGTCAACATCCTGTGGCAGTCAGGAGTCAACATACTGCGGCAGTCAGTGTCAACATCCTGCGGCAGTCAGAGTCAACATCCTGCGGCAGTCAGAGTCAACATACAGCGGCAGTCAGTGTCAACATCCTGCGGCAGTGAGTGTCGACATCCTGCGGCAGTCAGAGTCAACAATCCTGCGGCAGTCAGAGTCAACATACTGCGGCAGTCAGAGTCAACATCCTGCGGCAGTCAGAGTCAACATCCTGCGGCAGTCAGAGTCAACATCCTGTGGAGCCAGAGCTACTGCGGCAGTCAGAGTCAACATACTGAGGCGTCAGTGTCAACATCCTGCGGCAGTCAGAGTCAACATCCTGTGGCAGTCAGAGTCAACATACTGCGGCAGTCAGAGTCAACATACTGCGCGCAGTCAGTGTCAACATACTGCGGCAGTCAGTGTCAACATCCTGCGGCAGTCAGAGTCAACATCTTGCAGTCAGAGTCAACATACTGCGGCAGTCAGTGTCAACATACTGCGGCAGTCAGAGTCAACATACTGCGGCAGTCAGAGTCAACATACTGCGGCAGTCGTGTCAACATCTGCGGCAGTCAGAGTCAACATGCTGCGGCAGTCGTGTCAACATACTGCGGCAGTCGGTGTCAACATCCTGCGGCAGTCAGAGTCAACATACTGCGGCAGTCAGTGTCAACATACTGCGGCAGTCAGTGTCATCCTGCGGCAGTCAGAGTCAACATACTGCGGCAGTCAGGTGTCAACATACTGCGGCAGTCAGTGTCAACATCCTGCGGCAGTCAGAGTCAACATCTTGCAGCAGTCGGAGTCAACATACTGCGGCAGTCGGTCGCACTACTTGCAGTCAGAGTCAACATACTGCGGCAGTCAGAGTCAACATACTGCGGCAGTCAGTGTCAACATCCTGCGGCAGTCAGAGTCAACATACTGCGGCAGTGCACAACATACTGCGGCAGTCGAGTCAACATACTGCGCAGTCAGAGTCAACATACTGCGGCAGTCTGTGTCAACATCCTGCGGCAGTCAGTGTCAACACATTGCGGCAGTCGGTACAACATCCTGCGGCAGTCAGAGTCAACATGCTGCGGCAGTCAGAGTCAACATCTTGCAGCAGTCGAGTCAACATACTGCGGCAGTCAGAGTCAACATACTGCGGCAGTCGGTCAACATTGCGGCAGTCAGTGTCAAATCCTGCGGCAGTCGTGTCAACATCCCGGCAGTCAGAGTCAACATACTGCGGCAGTCGAGTCAACATCTTGCGCAGTCAGAGTCAACATACTGCGGCAGAGTCAGGTCAACATACTGCGGCAGTCAGTGTCAACATCCTGCGGCAGTCAGTGTCAGCAACATACTGCGGCAGTCAGAGTCAACATACTGCGGCAGTCAGTGTCAACATCCTGCGGCAGTCAGTGTCAACATCCTGCGGCAGTCGTGTCAACATCCTGCGGCAGTCAGAGTCAACATACTGCGGCAGGTCAGAGTCAACATCCTGCGGCAGTCAGTGTCAACATTCCTGCGGCAGTCGAGTCAACATCCTGCGGCAGTCGTGTCAACATCCTGCGGCAGTCAGTGTCAACATACTGCGGCAGTCAGAGTCAACATCCTGCGGCAGCGTCAACATACTGCGGCAGTCAGTGTCAACATACTGCGGCAGTCAGAGTCAACATCCTGCGGCAGTCAGAGTCAACATACTGAGGCAGTCAGTGTCAACATACTGCGGCAGCAGGTGTCAACATCCTGCGGCAGTCAGTGTCAACATACTGCGGCAGTCAGAGTCAACATACTGCGGCAGTCAGTGTCAACATACTGCGGCAGTCGTGTCAACATCCTGCGGCAGTCAGTGTCAACATACTGAGGCAGTCAGAGTCAACATACTGCGGCAGTCAGGTCAACATCCTGCAGCAGTCGGTGTCAACATACTGCGGCAGTCAGAGTCAACATCCTGCGGCAGTCAGAGTCAACATCTGCGGCAGTCAGAGTCAACATCCTGTGGCAGTCAGAGTCAACATACTGCGGCAGTCAGAGTCATACAGGTAGTCAGTGTACCATCTGCGCAGAGAGCAACATCCTGCGGCAGTCAGGTGTCAACATACTGAGGCAGTCAGGTAACATACTGCGGCAGTCAGGTGTCAACATCCTGTGGCAGTCAGAGTCACATACTGGGGCAGTCAAGTCAACATCCTGCGGCAGTCAGTGTCAACATCCTGCGGTAAGTGTCAACATACTGCTGCAGTCAGTGTCACATCCTGGCAGTCAGAGTCAACATACTGCGGCAGTCAGAGTCAACATACTGCGGCAGTCAGAGTCAACATAGGCAGTCAGATCAACATACTGCGGCAGTCAGAGTCAACATACTGCGGCAGTCAGAGTCAACATACTGCGGCAGTCAGGCCAGCATCCTGTGGCAGTCAGAGTCAACATCTTGCAGCAGTCGAGTCAACACTGCGGCAGAGTCAACATCTTGCAGCAGTCAGAGTCAACATACTGAGGCAGTCGAGTCAAATATTGCGGCAATCAGAGTCAACATCTTGCAGCAGTCAGAGTCAACATACCGGGGCAGTCAGAGTCAACATACTGCGGCAGTCAGAGTCAACATACTGCGGCAGTCAGTGTCAACATCCTGCGGCAGTCAGAGTTAACATACTGCGGCAGTCAGAGTCAACATACTGCGGCAGTCGTGTCAACATACTCGCGGCGGGTCAGGAGTCAACATCTTGCAGCAGTCAGAGTCACCATACGCAGCAGTCGAGTCAACATACTGCGGCAAATGAGACAACATCTTGCAGCAGTCAGAGTCAACATCTTGCAGCAGTCAGAGAAAGGTCAACATACTGCAGCAGTCAGAGTCAACATACTGCGGCGGTCAGAGTCAACATCTTGCAGCAGTCAGAGTCAACATACTGCGGCAGTCAGAGAGTCAACATACTGCGGCGGTCAGAGTCAACATCTTGCAGCAGTCAGAGTCAACATACTGCGGCAGTCAGAGTCAACATACTGCGGCAGTCAGAGAGTCAACATCTTGCAGCAGTCAGAGTCAACATCTTGCAGCAGTCAGACGGTCAACATACTGCGGCAGTCAGAGTCAACATACTGCGGCAGTCAGACGGTCAACATCCTGCGGCAGATGGTGAGCACGGAATTTATATCAGCGGCTCAGCAAAAGCCACGAGCTGAGAGGAAAAAACCCGCAGGTACCTGAGTGTTAGTTACCTGCGGCAGGAGGAAAACACTGAGCTATGTTATGACGCACTCCAGCGAATACTGCCTTGAGGACACACTGTACCGGGAGAGGTGGTGAGGGAACACTGTACCGGGAGAGGTGGTGAGGACACACTGTACCGGGAGAGGTGGTGAGGGAACACTGTACCGGGAGAGGTGGTGAGGGAACACTGTACCGGGAGAGGTGGTGAGGGAACACTGTACTGGAGAGGTGGTGAGGGAACACTGTACCGGGGAGAGGTGGTGAGGACACACTGTACCGGGAGAGGTGGTGAGACACACTGTACCGGGAGGAGGTGGTGGGAGGGAACACTGTACCGGGAGAGGTGGTGAGGAACACTGTACTGGAGAGGTGGTGAGGGAACACTGTACCGGGAGAGGTGGTGGAGGAACTGTACCGGGAGAGGTGGTGAGGGAACACTGTACTGGGAGAGACAGGAGACACACTGTACCGAGAGTGGTGAGGGAACACTGTACCGGGAGAGGTGGTGAGGGAACATTGTACCGAGAGGTGGTGAGGACACACTGTACCGGGAGAGATGGTGAGGACACTGTACCGGGAGAGGTGGGGAGGGAACACTGTACCGGGAGAGATGCAGGAGGGAACACTGTACCGGGAGAGGTGGTGAGGGACTGTACCGGGAGAGATGGTGAGGACACACTGTACCGGGAGAGGTGGTGGGAGGAACACTGCAAATGGGAGAGGTGGTGAGGGAACACTGTACCGAGAGGCGGAGGGGAACACTGTACCGGGAGAGATGGTGAGACACACCGTACCGGGAGAGGTGGTGAGGGAACAACGGTACCGGGAGAGGTGAGAGGGAACACTGTACCGGGAGAGGTGGTGAGACACACTGTACTGGAGAGACAGGGAGGACACACTGTACCGGGAGAGGTGGTGAGGGAACACTGTACCGGGAGAGATGGTGAGGGAACACTGTACCGGGAGAGGTGGTGAGGACACACTGTACCGGGTAAGATGGTGAGGTCACACTGTACCGGGAGAGGTGGTGAGGGAACACTGTACCGGGAGAGATGGTGAGGGAACACTGTACCGGGAGAGATGGTGAAGGAACACTGTACCGGGAGAGATGGTGAGAGATGAGAGAAAACTCTGCCTGAGGAACCATGAGATAACTCTTAACCTTGACAGAACGTAGGAGAATCACATGACGAATGAACACCCTAACGCTACCTGGAGGAGTTAGGCTAGGTGTGTGTGTGTGTGTGTGTGTGTGTGTTTTTGTGTTTGTGTGTGTATATTTGTTTGTGTGTGTGTATTTGTTTGTGTGTATGTATTTGTTTATTTGTGTGTGTGTGAGGGACGCACGTGGTTCACGCTGATAAAGCCGACTTGGGAAAGGTCTTAAATCTTGCGCGTTCGACAATCGTAATGTTTTTATATTCACCCCAGGACGTACACGACGAATGGATAATGTTCCATTTGTCGTCCTGTGGAAAATATTGGTCAGTGGGGAAGAAGGGTGGGTTGGCGAGCATTCTTGTATCTTAAAGAAATGGCTTCGTAGTAAGCATTTATCTCCGCCATTTTCATTTATTTCACGTTAACGACCGACTCCCGCTTCATTATTTAGTAATTATCGATACCAGACGAAAAATGGTGACGGATTGTTGTGGGCCGTCATATTTGGTCAATCCCTTCCCTTGAAATATCGTTGGCTGGGAAATACCACTTAATTCTTTCTCGTGAATATGCGCATTGATTCTCCAGCAGGAAAATACCGACTAATGCTTCGTCAGGAATATATCGTTTTCTATTTTCTCTCAATGTAATGGGTATTTTTACCTCACGTATACACATAAAAAAGGAGGATTTTCAGATAAAACTCCATGAATATGTAAGTGTTCCTGACCCGTATTTATAGTGTGCAGTAATTCGTATACCATTTGTTTACGTTGAGAGGTATGTGTGTGTGTGTGTGTGTGTGTGTGTGTGTGTGTGTGTGTGTGTGTACAATCACTAACACACACACCTGTTACATCATCTTTAAGGTATAGTTATGTAACACTTCACTCTGGTTATTATTAAAACAATAAAACATTCCGGTAATGTTATGATAATGAACCTGATGTATTACGCAACAGGCAGCAGCAGCCATTACCGGAATATTGCCACTGACTATTATTGCCTTGTGTAGACTGATCTTGCTAGCCCTTACTATCTTGACTCGTGTTTACCGTGGATAATAGCCGGTGAGACAGCTCTTATTCTTTACCATGGAGATAAATGTGTCCTTGTTGATATTCTATTTCTCAACTACATGACCATTGTAGACTCGTATTTCCGTCCGTGTGATATAAAGGTATTTTGTATTTTATTTTCGTTAGGTATTTATTTACGCCCCTGAAAGCTATTTTTACTTTTGTTTTTTGTTAATGAGAAATATTGAGAGTTTATTATCTCTACCTTCGTCCCTTACGGTGAGAAACATTGATAAAGATTATTACTGGCAGGTTGACCTCAGAGTAAGGGAGGGGGGGTAATACGCCATAACCTGTTGTTGTAGGAGGAAGGGTTATAGGTTTACTTACTAAGAATAAAAGAAGTAAAAGTTGTGAGAATATCCAATTTACGTAAGAGAAATGGTAGTTAATTCTATCTTATTTAGCGTGATTAATGAAAGGTACTTAGCTGTGATGCAATTTAGCAAGAGCCAAAATAATGGTGATCCTATTGTAATGAGTTTTAAAGGATGGAGGATGCTCACCTAACGGAGAGTATAAGCATTAGGGAGTAAACACACGGAAGGAGGCGGTGCAGGGGGTAGAGTTAAGGTGAAGGATGCTGTGGGTGTCCTGCTGTGGGTAGCCTACCTCGTTACTGATGAGATAAAGGATGTGGTTGGGTCCTACCTTGTTAAGCGGGAAGGAGCGAAAGACGCCGGGTTGTCCTGATCGCTGAAGACAGGTGATGTCCCTCGGAGCATCCATAGCCGGAGGACCAGGATCACCGCCCCCTGTGTGGTGACGTCAGTGGCTAGATGTTATGTATACAATTCAACTTCATTGTTCACACACACACACACACACAGTTTCTTCCTATTGTTTGAAAAGTTAGCATGGCAGTGTACACCAGACTGTATTAGAGGACTGACCCCGGCAACACCATCTTTAACATTAATATCCAAGTCGGTTGTCAACTCAGAGCGCTGACTGACATTCATGCGGACAAAGTAGGAGGACGTGAGATGACAAAGAGTTCTATAAATTTCCTGCAAAATTTTAATGACAGTTCCTGAAGTTTTATGAGAAATTTAAATTGTTCTCGGTTGTCATATTAAAAAGTTTGTCAGGCCGTCTAGAAGGTAAACAGTGAAGAGAGGAGACACTTTTATGGTGAGGGGGGGTAGAGAAGGGAGGGGTAGAGAAGGGAGGGGTAGAGAAGGAGGGGGTAGAGAAGGGGAGGGGAGCAGGGCAGAGAAGGAGGTAGAGAAGGGAAGGGGGGTGGAGAAGGGGAGTAGAGAAGAGGGGAGCAGGCAGAGAAGGAGGGGGTAGAGAAGGGGAGGGGTAGAGAAGGGAGGGGGTAGGGCAGAGAAGGAGGGGGGGGAGTCAGTAGTCACACACCCTCTATTTGTGTCCAGATATTAAGAGAATGACTTGACACTTATCGTAACTCCACATCCAAATTCTTAAAAAAAAAAGACAATGACTGCTGTAGTAATGGCGTCGAAATTACCCTAAGACTCATGACCAAGATTCTTCCCCTCACACTGTATACACAAAACGAGAAAATAACATACGATCCTTAGAGAATCTGATCAAAACAACCTTTAAAGGGAGACTCTATTACCTTGATCATGATTCACTGCTTCGAAAGGAATCATCAAACACAGCTTCAAGTTCCGTCCCGAATGGTTTCTATACGAGGGATCGGTGGAGGGTGAATTTAACAACCCTTATGGTAGATACTCTTGTATGACAGAACCAGGACAACGCCCCTCCTCCCCTTGAGAGGTTCATTTAGATTTAAGGCTCGTCAGGGATTGTTGCTGCTACGAGACGCGGTCTGTTGGTCTTCCTTGAATTCCTTGTCTCTCTCTCTCTTCCTTGACTCTCTTTCCTCCGTCTAGTCTCTCCTATCCCTCCTTACCTCTCCCCTCTCCCCACTCCCATCCCCCTCCCTCCCTACTCCCTCCCTTCCCTCTCTACTCCCTCCCTCCCTCCCTACTCCATCCCCTCCTCTCCCTACTCCTTCACCTCTCTCCCGCGACTCATCACTCCCGAGGAGGTAATTCTATTAGGCTAGGCAGGCCAGACGCGTCACCGAAGCTGCAACCATCAGCCTTCATGACACACACCTGTTTACACTCAACTTTCTTCCCTCTATTATCCTCTTCCTCTATGTTCCTTCATCACCCAATTCTTTCCTTCATTCTTTCCTCCATCACCCTTATCTCTCTTTCTCTCCACCCATTTCTCACCTTCATTCTTCCTCTGTTGTTCTATTACTCTATCATACCCGTTTTCTCGTCTTTTCCTTTTGTTTTTAAGTTTTACTCCACATTTTCTTGGCATCTCTCTTACTGGACCACAAAATTCAGTCTCCCCCCTCTCTCTCTCTCTCTCTCTGTCTCTCATCTATTGTTTCCTGCAGTACCACCTCCTCCTCCCCCCCTCAATCCCATTTACACTTACGTCCCACTCTCAACCTTCTCTCCCTGGACCAGCCTATTCTCTTCCCTCTCCACCTCTCTCTCACTCTCGCCCTCTCCGCCTCCTACACACAAACCAGAGAAATGAATCCATACAGAAAAACGCAACCTTCTGGTGGTGGGTGGTTGAGTGGGTGGGTGGGTGGGTGGGGGTGGGTTATACAGAGCTCCTGAACTAGTGAAGGATAAAACCATCTTTTTGTGTGTGTGGGGAGAGATAAAAGAGGTGGCCCTGGCTTTAAGAGGCAAGAAGGTCTTCACTTACCATAACACTCAGCCAGAACAGCCTCTTGAGTAGGGCACCCAAGGGTCTGCTCCGAGGCCGCCTGCAGAGTAGTCTAGAATGGAAGAGTACGTGTTTCATCATTCTCCTGTACGGGGGGGGGGCGGTAGTAATGATAAATAAATAAATAATAATAAATTTTAATTCTCACCTGAGGAAAAAAAATTAAAAGTGGGAATTATTTTACTTGGTGGACTGAGTCTCGTAGTTAATAAAGGATGATTTTTGTGTTGATAGAAAGTTGTTTGTTTATTTCCACCAGATATAAATACAGTATATGAAGTGAGATACTGAGTGAGGAAAGAAAGAGGAGACGAAAGGCAAATAAAAAAAAAGTGTGAGAAAGTGAAACAATGGGAGGACATGAATGAGGTAGAGAAAGAAAGAATGAGAACAATGTAAAGAAATAAACAGGAAAAAACAGAGAATGGGAGAGAACAAGATATTGAGAGATAGTGAGCAACAGAGAGAGAGAATAAGTGACAAAGAGAAACAGAATGAGAGTGACAGAGATACAAAAAGACAGACAAGCAGAGAGAGAGAGAGAGAGACATAGAGACAGAGTACTCACCTTCTTACGTGTTTCCTGTGCAGTATAACATCCCAGGCGGCACACACCAGGAGGGAGGTGAGGGCGTGTTCCTTACACAGTGTCCCCGCCCCTGCCAGCACTCCTGCACGTCGAAGCCACGCCCATCCTCCTTTTCTTCCCCCTCCTCCTCCTGTTGTTACTCCACCTGCTACTCCTCCTCCTCCACCTCCTCCTCCTCCTCTTCCTCCTGTTGTTGCTCCTCCTCCTCCTCCTGTTGTTCCTTCTCCTCCATTTTCTCCTCCTCCTCCTCCTCCTCCTCCTCCTCCTCCTCGCATCCCGTCTAACGTTGTTCCAGGAATTCCTCTTCTGATGTTGTCCCAACTTGAGCCACCGACGCAGCTGCCTCCTCCTCCTCCTCCTCCTCCTCCTCCTCCTCCCTCCTCCTCCTTCCCCAAGGCCAAAGGTACTCCCTCTTTTCCCCTTCCCACCATCCTCTCCTGTTCCTCCTGCCAACCAATACGTAACTTA